AATTCAATTCAGTTCAATGCAGTTTATTTATATACTGATTCAAAACAGACCGCCAGGTAGTACAGTCGGATTGGTTCAAAGTTTTCCATCTCAGGAAAACAGCTGATTGTATTGACTCATTGACTCCAAAGCAATTATACCAAGCATACCTTTAGTGACAGTGGAGAGGAAATTTCTTCTTAAAATAATTTTTTTTTTTTCTTGAATTAGGCAGGGAAGTGAGTCTCTTTACCAATGGATTAAGACAACTTATATTTATCAGAATAAGAAAAAACAACTGTAGTCTCTTATTTCAAGTGCATAATAGAGATGGGGCAGCTGGTGGGATGATGCTGAGATAACAGTCTGATCCTGAATGTGGAAAGACGAAGGAGATTATTGTTGACTTCAGGAACAACGGACCGAACCACTTTCCACTGCTCATCAGCAGCCCAGCTGTAGAGGTGATCAGCAGCAGCAAATTCCTGGGGGTGCACATCACAAAGAACCTCGCCTGGACTATGAACATCTCCTCACTCGTCAAAAGGGCACAAAAGTGCAAGTACTTCTTGCGGAAGATGAGGAGAGCCCACCTGCCCCCACACATCCTTACAACCTTCTACAGAAGCACCATAGAGAGCGTTCTGACCAGCTGTCTCACTGTGTGGTGTGGAGGCTGCGGCGCCTCCTGCACCCTTCTGTAACAGTATCTTCCCCACTGCCACCAGACTGCTGAAGTGTTGAAAAAACTCTAAATCAAGTCACAAATCTAGACTCTGCATTACCCTGATAACATCATACTAAATAGAAGTCAAATGCTATATTATGAATTTTACCAGAGCTGTTTCAGTGCTATGATGAGCTCTAAAACCTGTATGAAATGGGAGATAAGATACAGGTCTATAAATGACCAAGTCATGTTTCTTAATTTCCACAGCTGTACTGGCAAAACAAGACACAAAAAAGAACAAAAAACCTTTGATCGATTTAGATTTATGTAAAGTCAGGCACTGTAATAATGCCATTTTAGACTGTGCTGTCTGTTTGAATTTATTATTTAAAAATATGATTTGTTTAGAATTTTTTGGTGAGAAGGCTTTTTGAATAGTTTGATGGGTAGTTTTGAATTGGTTTAAGTAGTTTTGGGGGGGGTTCTGGTTGGGTGGCCTGCACGGGATGGTCCGGCCCGTGTGCGGGGGGCCGGGCTCGAAGCAGGAATGATGAGATGGGTTGGTGTGGTGGTGTCGCCGTTCCCCTCTCCCCCATCTGGATTTTAGGTTCACTTATTGGGTTATCCGATAATCCCGGTACCAAACGCCGGTGCCGCCAGGTCTTTGGTCCTGGTATTATTGGATGTGAGTTTTTTTTTTTCTGTGGTGTGAGTGGGGGCACAAGGGAGGGAATGCGTGATTACGATTGTGAGTTTTGTGGGGGTTTTTTCTCCCAGTTTGGGGTCTGAACTGCCCAATCTCCCAAACACATCTCAAGTCTCCGCTAAGTGCGGAGCCCATTCCCCCCGTTCTGCTCTCCCTCCGCTGGCTGGCGTTGGGGCTCGTCGGTGCACTGGTGGAGCTTGGTGTTTGGAGGTGGATGCCCGGATGG